TCAAACCTCCTGTGCAAGAATGTGGCCTCCCTGCCCATCTGTCCCAGCGGGGCTGTCAACTGCCAGGTGTCCCTCCGAGACCTGTTTGACCGTGCAGTCATCCTGTCTCACTACATCCATAACCTCTCCTCGGAAATGTTCAATGAATTTGTAAGTACCTCACATCCGCCTCTCCCCAGGGCAGGCCGTCCTACCGCTCACCCAGAAAACCTCGCCAGCCACATTTCAGAGAGCATCCCGTTCGAGCTCAGAGAAGCACCATCCAAGAAACAGGAGGAAGGGAAAGTCTCGTGGACTCTCAAAAAGTCTCAAAGAACGTAGTGACCTTTTAAAACCGTATTCCACCTTATTTTTTATCAGAGGTTTTTAAAAATCTGAACAGACTGATATAAAGTCCTGCTAGGCGGGGCTCAGGAACAGTGCCAATTTATTCTCCTGGCACAGAGAGCTCAGTTCCCTGGGTCCTCTTCGCTCAGCACCCTGAAGACACCCAGTAAGTAGCTACACAGCAGGGTGTGAGTGGATTAGGCCTGATCAAGAGAGACTGGATCCATCCTGATGGGAGGGGAGGGGGGGTCAAAATAGCTTTTCAGAAACTGGAAAACTCTAGGGCCAGGTTAGAAATGGAAACAGGCTCTGTGTCCTTGATGAAGGCCCTTGGGAAGTTGAGCTCTCCTGGGTCAGCCAGATGTGGACAATGGCACTTCCATACATCAACAGTCCTCCTGGGAGCATGTGGCTCAGGTTCCAGAACGTTCCTGCACACTCTTCTTGCCGTGCACCATATTTTCCGTCATTCTCCATCTCTGACTGGCCATCTCTTCCCACTCTGCCTTGCATTCCCTTTAAACTTTCCCAATTTTTGTTAAACACTAGTTTTAAATAATAAATATTGATCTCTGTATTTTTTCCTTGTTTTATTCTCAGTCCATGGCGCAAAATCTCTTACATTTGTATGTCCTGTTTTTTTTCTGACTCATTTTTTTGACAATCCACAAAAGTTCCCTGAATTCCTGATGCGCTTCACCCATCCAAGGAAAGAAGACCCATGTGGACTCGCAGGCAATAAGAGATTAAATGGCTGAACTTAGATACATACGCAACGTTGGCATTTGACTCAAATACCCAAGGAAGACGGTGGTAAAAAAACACCTCATAGATCTTAGGTTTGCTATTTTAGTGGTCGTTTTCCAAATTATAACTTGTAGGGAGGCGAGAAGGAAGGGTGATACAGCACGGGAGTCATAAAGGAAGTAGGAAAATGAGGTGGAAAACGTGAGATTCAGAGCTGATGGAAAAGAGTGGGCAAAGGGTT